GGGCGGCCGCCGCGGCAGCGCTTCAGCACCACGGACAGCGCGCCGAGGCCCGCGGGGCGGCGGCTCCGACGCGCGCTTGACCCCAAACCGCACCCCTGGCGGTGTCCCGCTGCCCCCACAGGCCTGACCAGGTGTGCAGCCTGCCCCCTGCTCCAGCCCTGAGCCCCAGCGCAGAGCTCCTGGGAGTCTCCCTGGCCGCGCTCCCCGGGTCTCCTTCCCCGTGACGCCCACGGCCAACTCACAGTCCTCTAGGTCGAGCAAGGAGACTTCCTTGGCAGCAGGGACACCTTTGCCACTGGGGGGCTGGAAGAGAGGGGCGCCGAGCGGGTGTGGGAAGAGGAGGCCCCATTGTGGTGGGGCGGCCCCGCGCCCCGGGACCTCACCGTTTTCTTCCGCCAGGAGGCTGAGCCGCCCTGCTCCTCCGCGGACTCAGAGGCCGAGTCCGACGCTGAGGAGCTGCTGCTGGAGTCGCTGTCCTCGTCTGAGGGGGAGCCGCTGGCCCGCCCCGCTGGCGCCTCCTTCCTCTTCTTTGCCTTCTCCCCTTCCTCCTCACTCTGGTCACTAGAGGGGGGGGGCGAGCTGGGGTCAGGACTGGCCTTTACGTCCCCTTCTTCCTCCCAGAAGAGGAGGGCCCCTAAAAAGTGGGGGAGGGTGGGAGTCTGGGCTCCTGAGCTTGGCTCCAGGAGAGCGTCAAGGGTCTGCTCACACTACAGACCCAGGCTGCCCGGGAAGCTGCAGGCCTGGCCGCAGGACCCCCGCAGCCCCCAAATCACCCGCCGCTGGGCTGGCCAGGGGATGACGGCCCCTCTCACCCAGCTCCTGGGAGGAAGCTGGCTAAATCCAAGGGTTGGCCTGTGTCCTCTGGGGGGTCCCAGAGGTCCTTTACCTCTCACTGCTCCTCCCTTTCTCCTCGTCCTCATCCTGGTCCTCGTTATCCGACTCGCTACTGGCCTCCCCAGAGCCGCTCTCGCCGCTGCTCTTGCTGTCCGACTCGCTCTCAGACTCGGGGTCTGTGGGGGCTCAAGCCTCAGCCCCCAGGGTCAGACCAGGGACCTGGGCTCCCAGATCCAGACTGGGCATCAGGCCCCTGCTCTGGTCCCCACCCCAGATGCCAACTGACCGACTGAGACATCCATGGGCCTGTGAGACCAGAGACTGCCCAGGCCC